TTTTTTTTTGCATTTTCGTTTTTCGCGATTATCTCGGAAACTATGAGATAGAGAGATAGAGCCTTAAAACCTAATTTGGGTCTCCTATAGACAAGTGGATGGCTCAGAATTGCGTTTTTCCACTTCCTAGGCCTTATACAAGATGAATTGAATTAATTTTTTTTGGCACTTTGGTCTTTCGCGATTATCTCGGAAACTATGAGATAGAGAGATAGAGCCTTAAAACCTAATTTGGGTCTCCTATAGACAAGTGGATGGCTCAGAATTGCGTTTTTCTACTTCCTAGGCCTTATACAAGATGAATTGAATTAATTTTTTTTGGCACTTTGGTCTTTCGCGATTATCTCGGAAACTATGAGATAGAGAGATAGAGCCTTAAAACCTAATTTGGGTCTCCTATAGACAAGTGGATGGCTCAGAATTGCGTTTTTCTACTTCCTAGGCCTTATACAAGATGAATTGAATTAATTTTTTTTGGCACTTTGGTCTTTCGCGATTATCTCGGAAACTATGAGATAGAGAGATAGAGCCTTAAAACCTAATTTGGGTCTCCTATAGACAAGTGGATGGCTCAGAATTGCGTTTTTCTACTTCCTAGGCCTTATACAAGATGAATTGAATTAATTTTTTTTGGCACTTTGGTCTTTCGCGATTATCTCGGAAACTATGAGATAGAGAGATAGAGCCTTAAAACCTAATTTGGGTCTCCTATAGACAAGTGGATGGCTCAGAATTGCGTTTTTCTACTTCCTAGGCCTTATACAAGATGAATTGAATTAATTTTTTTTGGCACTTTGGTCTTTCGCGATTATCTCGGAAACTATGAGATAGAGAGATAGAGCCTTAAAACCTAATTTGGGTCTCCTATAGACAAGTGGATGGCTCAGAATTGCGTTTTTCTACTTCCTAGGCCTTATACAAGATGAATTGAATTAATTTTTTTTGGCACTTTGGTCTTTCGCGATTATCTCGGAAACTATGAGATAGAGAGATAGAGCCTTAAAACCTAATTTGGGTCTCCTATAGACAAGTGGATGGCTCAGAATTGCGTTTTTCTACTTCCTAGGCCTTATACAAGATGAATTGAATTAATTTTTTTTGGCACTTTGGTCTTTCGCGATTATCTCGGAAACTATGAGATAGAGAGATAGAGCCTTAAAACCTAATTTGGGTCTCCTATAGACAAGTGGATGGCTCAGAATTGCGTTTTTCTACTTCCTAGGCCTTATACAAGATGAATTGAATTAATTTTTTTTGGCACTTTGGTCTTTCGCGATTATCTCGGAAACTATGAGATAGAGAGATAGAGCCTTAAAACCTAATTTGGGTCTCCTATAGACAAGTGGATGGCTCAGAATTGCGTTTTTCTACTTCCTAGGCCTTATACAAGATGAATTGAATTAATTTTTTTTGGCACTTTGGTCTTTCGCGATTATCTCGGAAACTATGAGATAGAGAGATAGAGCCTTAAAACCTAATTTGGGTCTCCTATAGACAAGTGGATGGCTCAGAATTGCGTTTTTCTACTTCCTAGGCCTTATACAAGATGAATTGAATTAATTTTTTTTGGCACTTTGGTCTTTCGCGATTATCTCGGAAACTATGAGATAGAGAGATAGAGCCTTAAAACCTAATTTGGGTCTCCTATAGACAAGTGGATGGCTCAGAATTGCGTTTTTCTACTTCCTAGGCCTTATACAAGATGAATTGAATTAATTTTTTTTGGCACTTTGGTCTTTCGCGATTATCTCGGAAACTATGAGATAGAGAGATAGAGCCTTAAAACCTAATTTGGGTCTCCTATAGACAAGTGGATGGCTCAGAATTGCGTTTTTCTACTTCCTAGGCCTTATACAAGATGAATTGAATTAATTTTTTTTGGCACTTTGGTCTTTCGCGATTATCTCGGAAACTATGAGATAGAGAGATAGAGCCTTAAAACCTAATTTGGGTCTCCTATAGACAAGTGGATGGCTCAGAATTGCGTTTTTCTACTTCCTAGGCCTTATACAAGATGAATTGAATTAATTTTTTTTGGCACTTTGGTCTTTCGCGATTATCTCGGAAACTATGAGATAGAGAGATAGAGCCTTAAAACCTAATTTGGGTCTCCTATAGACAAGTGGATGGCTCAGAATTGCGTTTTTCTACTTCCTAGGCCTTATACAAGATGAATTGAATTAATTTTTTTTGGCACTTTGGTCTTTCGCGATTATCTCGGAAACTATGAGATAGAGAGATAGAGCCTTAAAACCTAATTTGGGTCTCCTATAGACAAGTGGATGGCTCAGAATTGCGTTTTTCTACTTCCTAGGCCTTATACAAGATGAATTGAATTAATTTTTTTTGGCACTTTGGTCTTTCGCGATTATCTCGGAAACTATGAGATAGAGAGATAGAGCCTTAAAACCTAATTTGGGTCTCCTATAGACAAGTGGATGGCTCAGAATTGCGTTTTTCTACTTCCTAGGCCTTATACAAGATGAATTGAATTAATTTTTTTTGGCACTTTGGTCTTTCGCGATTATCTCGGAAACTATGAGATAGAGAGATAGAGCCTTAAAACCTAATTTGGGTCTCCTATAGACAAGTGGATGGCTCAGAATTGCGTTTTTCTACTTCCTAGGCCTTATACAAGATGAATTGAATTAATTTTTTTTGGCACTTTGGTCTTTCGCGATTATCTCGGAAACTATGAGATAGAGAGATAGAGCCTTAAAACCTAATTTGGGTCTCCTATAGACAAGTGGATGGCTCAGAATTGCGTTTTTCTACTTCCTAGGCCTTATACAAGATGAATTGAATTAATTTTTTTTGGCACTTTGGTCTTTCGCGATTATCTCGGAAACTATGAGATAGAGAGATAGAGCCTTAAAACCTAATTTGGGTCTCCTATAGACAAGTGGATGGCTCAGAATTGCGTTTTTCTACTTCCTAGGCCTTATACAAGATGAATTGAATTAATTTTTTTTGGCACTTTGGTCTTTCGCGATTATCTCGGAAACTATGAGATAGAGAGATAGAGCCTTAAAACCTAATTTGGGTCTCCTATAGACAAGTGGATGGCTCAGAATTGCGTTTTTCTACTTCCTAGGCCTTATACAAGATGAATTGAATTAATTTTTTTTGGCACTTTGGTCTTTCGCGATTATCTCGGAAACTATGAGATAGAGAGATAGAGCCTTAAAACCTAATTTGGGTCTCCTATAGACAAGTGGATGGCTCAGAATTGCGTTTTTCTACTTCCTAGGCCTTATACAAGATGAATTGAATTAATTTTTTTTGGCACTTTGGTCTTTCGCGATTATCTCGGAAACTATGAGATAGAGAGATAGAGCCTTAAAACCTAATTTGGGTCTCCTATAGACAAGTGGATGGCTCAGAATTGCGTTTTTCTACTTCCTAGGCCTTATACAAGATGAATTGAATTAATTTTTTTTGGCACTTTGGTCTTTCGCGATTATCTCGGAAACTATGAGAGATAGAGCCTTAAAACCAAATTTGGGGCCCCTATAGGTAAGTGGATGGCTCAGAATTGCGTTTTCCCACTTCCTACCCCCTATACAAGAGGAATTAAATTAATTTTTTTTGCATTTTCGTTTTTCGCGAATATCTCGGAAACTATGCGAGATAGAGCCTTAAAACCTATTCCATTCGATTCCTGAGGAAATTTGGGTTCCGTATAGGCAGATGGACGGCTCAGAATTGCGTTTTTCCACTTCCTACACCCTATACAAGATGAATTAAATTAATTTTTTTTTGGCACTTTCGTTTTTCGCGATTATCTCGGAAACTATGAGATCCGATCAATTAGCCCGATCATGTATAGATATTCCAAATTTTCTGGGTTCC